CCTATTTTAGAAATCTATTTGCTGAACTGCAGTCAAGTTCAGGAATTAACTTTCAAATTCTACAGATTTTTTTTACATAAATGTGGCCTGTAACACCAAGCGTGTGCTCAGAACCCAAATCTTTTTTCCTCACCAGAAATAGAAATCCTATTACTAGAGTCATAGATCAGCTTTCTCCTCTTTACTTGGTTCATACTCACCTTTTACAACAGTCTCTGAACACAATTGTCAAATTTGTACTGAAAAAAATCACTAGAAGACTGAGACAGATGGTCAGAACTAGATGACTGATGAGAAAGAAAAAGCTAATTTTGCACTGCTGCTTCAGGTAGGTCTCTACACAAGTTAAGGAAAGATGGAGAGACTGCAGCTACAGAGGCTCTTGCATTACTTACTTGTATAGTCTAAACTAAATTCAAATCTGATCCTTTTTTCTGCTAGCTTCACAGTTCAAAAAAATGTACGAAGAGAGCATTCTGCACTGACATGAAAGGAATATGGCCAATGTGGCAGCATGCCCTTCTCCCTTGAATTTGCTACTCTTGCTATTTTTAGCATTACTTAAACATAATGTACACTGACATCATAATTTAATCTCTCCTTTTTCACAGCAGGTGAGGGTTGTCTGGAACACCACACACACTTCCACTGCAGACTTGAAGACAAAAGTGACTGAAACAGAGAAGGGAAAAAACAAAGGCACACAGGAGAAAACTCTTTAGTTTGACAGGTTTTAAATCAAGGACCTCTATTTGGTCATTCATTGTATTTTAAACAGGAGGGATCTTTTGTGTATAGGCACCTAAGCCCCACCCAACAACTTACTCCCCACCAAACATGCTGTTACTATAGCCACGGCTGTCCAGCTCTGCCTGGGAAGCAGTCGATGGTGCACAGACACAAAGGGCTGTGTGCCTGTACATCTCTACCTACCCACATGTATGGTGCAGCCATGCACAGGTAGCTTACGTGAGGCAACCAAGCATTATTTACAGCCCTGGTCTCTCATCACATCTCTTCCTCTACCTGCCCCACTGAAACGGGCACTAAAGCAGGAAATAATTGTCGCATGAAGCTGCCAACAGGCTTCCTGCTCTCCTACAGCTGAGAGGGGAAGTCTGCAGGGTCAGATAACCTGTCTTGGCATGCCCACTGGATCACATTATTTCCAAGAAAATAAAATTCTGTAATATGTCCCAGCTTGCGCTCTGCAGTACTGAATTTCTGAGGCAGACGTTGACATCCCATTTTAACAGTATGCCTTGGAACGTGGAGGATGGCAGCCGAGCCATCTATATCATGAGTCGTGTCGTAGCCAACACTTACAACAACAGCAATTTCACATATTGAAAAATGTTTAGGTTTAGCTGTTAGAAGTGTCAAACAGCAGGAGCTTGCCACCAATTCCCAAAAATAAGCCTCACGACAGGAAGTTCTACCACTCCATAACACCTTACACATAAAACCTCTCTCTCTTCTACATTAAGGGTGTAGCTTTTTAGCTTTCAGAAGTGGCAAATGAGGAAAGCCCTCATCATGTCTTCCCCACTGTTAACTGCACAATTTTTGCCCTGCCCTTCTGCATTTGACATTCAAGTAGTAAATAGTGGCAGATTTGCTCTGCAAGTAATTGTGCCGGTTCCAGATCCACCAGGATGACTTTATGCAGACAAAATTCTTTAAAGCCATGAAGATGTTCCTTTCTTCCCCCTCTGCTCCCCCTCCCAGTTGCATAAGCTTATTTTTCAACATTTGGCAACAGAACGAATGCATTAGATCACAAAGGACCAAATCTGTTGTTGTTGTTTTCCTTTGGAGCTTCCTTAATTAGGACTCCAGCATTTGGAAAGTAAAAGGCAAGAAATGCACTGTGGTATAGAACTATCAATATTAACGAACAAGACATTTCCAGCTTTTAAAAATATTCTGTTTGAGGCTAAATCAGCATATCTAAAAGTGACCTATTTGGAATAAGTATGTCACTAAGTTCGATATTTAGGTCAGTATTTGTGCAGTAATTCCAGTCCGTCCTGAAAACAGGAGTTCTATTCACCTCAGGACACACATATATAGAAAAACTGATCCTAAACACCTATTCAAAAATCTCTTCGAAAAATTTACTGGGGCAGAGCATGAGAGCTGTCTTGGCTATGATGGATTTCACTGTTAGAATGAATCTGATTATACAGGAGCAATGCTCATTTTTAATTAAATTGAACCCAAGCCTCTGCAAACACGAATTCAAATGTTCTCTAGCATACACGTATTTATTGCAGGAGTGATGTGTTAGGATTTGTCTCATTCTGAAACACCACTAAAAAGTCAACATTGTCAATATTCTGTGGGGAGAAAGACTGCAGAGCAAGCATTCTTTGCAAAGTCTCCTTCCAACATTAAGCTTGTTATTTAAAAGTTAAAGCAACATCATCTTGTAGCTCTTTGGAAGTATACAGAAGATAGAAATGAAAATATTTTTATAGTTAAAAACTGAATCGAGCAATTTTAATGAGGTATTTTACCAGGGATTTCCTTCTGCATTAAAATCTATAATTAAAGCTTTCATTACACTTGTAAGTATCAGAACTTCTCAGCTTTCAGCAGCACACATTGGGAGCATGGCTGACTGCAGAAAAGCTACCATCGAATAAAACACAAATGTCACTTCCAAAGCAAATGCCATTAAACAACAACTATATTTAAAACAGTCTTAAATATTATTCAGAACAACTCACAAAGGGCAAGTACCATATATAACACCAGGATTAAAGAATTGGAAAGTGCCATGCGACCTAGCCCATAACAAGCAACTAGAAGCCCAAGAGTTTGAGCCATATCTCCCTAAATTTGTTTACCTTTAGACATGCAGTGCTCTATACGGTATTTTCTTGGTTAGAAAGAATATTTCAACACCTTTGAACTTGAGTAGTTTCCAATCCCCTGAAGCAGAAGACCTCATATAAATGTTGGGGTTTTTCTCTCTGTGTGAGAATGCTAGCTTGCCTGAACTACAGAGCTGAAGATTAAACGTTTTCTCATTTATTTATACGTGTAAATCAGGGATGTTGCACCTTGCAATTAAGCACTTGGACACAAACAGTATCAGCTGGAGGAAATTTGAGTTCCTTTTGCATTATTACTACTTTCCCTGTTTCTGTTCTTCAGAAACAGTGCTACCGTGCAGCACTTCCCACACGACTAGCTTGCATACAATCATGTTTGTCTCTGTTTTTCAGTCTAAGGATAGACACTCCAAACATCAAAAAAGCAGCTTGAAGTGGCAAAGTGCTGTTTCAAAATCCATGAATGCAGAATGCCAAGTCTCAGGTTTGGGGGCTGGGAGGTGGAGAGCTGGGGAAAAACACATTTTTCCCCTCGAAGAATGTTTTACCAACTAAAAGAATAGCACAGTGAGTTTCTTCAATTTTGACAGTCTGAAAAGACACTTGAAACTATGTATTTTCTTTCTACTCTTACATAAGAAAAATGGGAGGTTATCATGAGTGCATGGGGATATGTTGTCATGCTGGCTATCGTCCCGATGCTGTTAGTCACTTGGGTGAACCAGAGAGAAAGAGAGAAGCACAGCATGGCACAGAACAAGCTTACGCTGCCAGTAATTCAGAGGGGCTTTCTGGCCATTTATCTCTACTTCTGAAGTTCATTGTTTTCCACTGTTTTTCTCACTCATTAGATTTGTCTTTCATTTATCTGATGTCAAAGCCTCTGGAGATGAAAGGGCACTACTGTCCCAGAGAGAGCCACAAAGCAGCAAGAACTCAAAAACCTGACAGATCGTGCCTCACCGTCTCATAAAACATGCCCTGGGGACTTTTACTTTGAGGCTTAACAGACCTAAGCAAATATAGCTTCCTTAAAAAGAATTTAAAAACTTGCTAGAAAAAAAACCAAAACGACAGTTTAAATGATGCATGTGTTGGGAGGTGCAACAGTTACTGCTCAGAGAAAGTTTGACATCTGATCAAACCTCTTGAAAAAGTCCACAACCTAGGCTGCATCATTGCAATAGGCTGGGTAATACATTATTGCAACCTAAAAAGACAAAACAGATCTAGTGTGACAAAGATCTATAAGCACTACTATGGAAAACTAAGTTGCTTTAACATAGAAAATAGCATGGGCAGTCCTACCAAATATAAAACTAATGAACAATTTAGGCCCAACTAGAAAACCAAAGAGGGAACACTGATAGCAAAAGAACTCACATGGTAATAAAAAAAGCAAATATAATGGCAAATTACTTTGAGGAGAATTTATCAAAAAAGTGGCAGAGATTAGGAGACAAAACAGGTAATTGCAAAAACAACCTTCCAACACAAAATGGAACTGAAGAGTCAAATGAAATAATGCAGGCCCTAAATTCCCATAAGAAATTGTGCTTCAAGCACAGTTAAAATTTGCTTTACAAAGGTTTTAGTTACTAACTTATTTTTTCCCTGACATAAAGTGATTGCTTATTAAAAAAACAAAAATCGAACAGTTGCAAAACTAAAGAGATTCAGCAACATTTCCAACCAGGGGAAAAAAAAATATCCTTAATTCCAGCAATTTAATATTTAGGTTCTGTGTAAGGAATGAACTGAAAAACATCTGACACTATTTTAGATTTTAATCACACTGAAATAAAGCTTTTTAAATTGAAATTTTGACAGTTATATTTGTCATCCTTTTTGTTCTAATGATCTCACTACATCCATCCAGCTGGATCAAGACTAGAAAAGGGAGAAAGTTCAGCACAGCACTTTGCTTATACAACCATAGCAGAAAGAAATCTCAGTGTAAATTACATGCAGAAAAATTTGTCTCCCTGTTGCCTGTTAGCAAGAGCTCTCAAATTGAATGTTTTTATGCAACACTAACAGCAGCAGTAGCAGTTCATGATGGTCTATCCAGAAGAGAGACTGTATCACTGCATGGAGAAGACTGAACTGGAGGAAATGCTATGAACATCCCATTTGGGCAGGAGTTAGGACTATTCTCACCTTTGATGCTTGTCGCAGCCATCGCAGATATTCAGTGAAGTTATCGAAACAAATGTAGTAGGTCTGGCTTTGAGGTCCAGAGGAGCTAAATGCTAAACAGTGCTGGTGCTTCTTCACTTCTTCCACCTACAGGAGAGACACAAAACTCTTAGCCGAAAAGAGCCAACAGCCTCTTTGCAGAACTCCTCAGGGCAAAGTTAAAATGTGCCCAAGAGGAGCTCAACAAGTAGAGTTGGGCTAATCATTTCAAACACTCAAGCTGGATCTTGGCTTTCAAATATTCCTAAAATCTGCACAAGCAAGGAATGAGAACAGAAGGATAACAGAATTAATGGAGAAAACCACCAAGAACTTCAACATTTTAACAGAGACTTAGCACCATAAAAGGTCTACCAGTGAAACACATTTAAGGCTGCTTTTATGCAACCTAAAAAATACAATTTATACTCCTGGTTATTAAAAACACGTTTAACCAAATGCTTCTCTTACAGACCAATTAAATTCTTTGGCATTTCTCAACTTGCTAAAAAACACCCAGAATACATCATTCTGCTACCATACATGAGAAGTCCCACACAACTTATGGTCTCGATGTCTCAGCACAGCATTCTGGAAAGCCTTTGCAAACCAGGAAGTGCAGAGTATTTATGGGGTTGAGGAAGAATATTTTTTGAGCAATAATTTAAAAAACACTTAGTTCTGTGCCAAGTATCCTCCTCCCAAGCTTTGTCAGCAGAAGCTCTCGGTACATTTTTCTCAGCTTGGTTATCCTTTTGTTTTAAAATTTGTTGTCAACTTTCTGCTTAACACAGTCTGCATGTTTTACATCACATAAGGCATTTATGTTCAAAAACAACTTAGAAATTCCATGTTAAGCAATTTAAAAAGGTACACAATCTTTTATCTTTTTTAATTAAACTATACACATTTTTCACCTCAAAAAGAAGGATGATGAGAACCTGAATTCTTTCCTGTCCAGCATCCTACAGCCTGGAATACAATTCACTGTCAAGAGCTCACAGACTGTTGCTAAAAGAGGACCATATCTCTACTTCATAATCTCCAGGGAAGAGTTGGAGAAGCATATGAAGAATCATGAAAGGAGACAGGAAAAACAGCTCCTAGAAGGCAGCACTTCTTTTCACACTGCTAGTATAGAATACTAATGAATTAACTGTAGTCTGCATATCTAATACTGTGACACTTGTTTTTCAGCCAATAGCCCTAAGAATCCAACTTGTCAGTATGTAAGTAAAGGAGGATTACTTCAGGTGTAAATTCCTCCTCAAGCTGATGATTCTCTTCCCATTACCTTGGCTAAACAGGCCAATAATAGTGTGCTGAAACACTATTTAGGTCAAAACAGCAATATTGTAATCTTACTGTCTTCACTAAAGTTTCACAGCATCACAGCATGGTTAAAGTGGGAAGGGACCTCCAGAGGTCATCTGATTCAACCCCTTGCTCAAGCAGGGTCACCTACAGCTATAGTTGCCCAGGACTATGTCCAGATGGTTTTTAAATATATCCAAGGATGCAGACTCCATCACCCCTCTGGGTAACCCATGCCATTGCTTGGTCACTGTCACATTACCTTGTGCTGGGTTTCAGATGTAATTGATCAGAACAAAGTCCAGTTTCAGCTTTTCACAAGTAAAAATATTTGTTGCCATTAGCTCACAATGGCCCACTACTCTCACAATGCTTAAGCACTCAAATCTCTCCCAATTTTCCAAATTAGCCCATGCCCTTACCGGTCCATTTTCAGACCTTTAGAGTAACCCATCATGGATGAAACCTGGATGAGGAGGCATGGCACAGTTCATACACAAAAGAGCTGCATGTATCCCTTGTCTGTGTACTACTGCACATGTAAAACACTTAACACTGCACACAAGAGAAAGAAACTGATTATGAATCCATTGCTTTTCTTTATTGTTTTAATTCAAATATTCTAAATTGTTAAATATGACTGACCATAATCACAAGTCATTTATGTATTTTGAAAACCCCATTTGCAGAAAGAAGCATCTGGGAAGTCAGAATCATCATAATTGAATGCAATCTTCTCTGCATAGAGAGACAAGGGTTAACCAAGCAAATACAGGAAACAAAATATCTTACTTTTCCACCAATTAAAGGGAGGACATGCATCTTTCCAGTCTGGCTTTCTTTTACTGATGAGACAATTAGGCATGTTCCACAAAGGATAGCTTGGCGTCTTGTCCATCTGTTGACTGGCAAATGTATTTTCCCTTTTCGAACATTGTACATTCCTGAGAGCTGAATCCGTTCGGAGCTGCCAATGCTGTGGGGCTTTCCTGAAATAGAAACAAAAGCATCCACTTAATCACAGAAAATCTTTGTCTCTTTTGCTCAAGTCATCCTCAGACTTTATCAGCAAATTTTGAAGCTACAGATCGCAGCGTGACAAATGAAACACAGCTTCAGAACCATGCAAGCAGGTAATTTAATATTAGCTTCAGTACAGACTTTTTTCATAGGTAAAGGTATATGACAGGTTGGTATCAGGAAGAGCAGACCAGGTTACATAATATGCAACAGTCACAGAAGTACCAATTAATGGTACCAGTCTTCTCTATAGAACTTGGAAATTCAATGTTCATCCTCAGCACTAAGTAATTGGTTACTGTTCACACTGCCTGTTTGCTAAATGCAGAAGGGGGTGAATGTACTTCACGGTGACCTGCATCTCTGCACTGCCATAGCTCTTCTGGCTGTCCTTCATGTCATGGTTTGAATAGCTCCAACAGCTTTCCAAAGAATACAGTTCTTGCTTTCCCCAGCCCACCCTGCTGGGGCATCCAAACTCCACAGCAGAGGCAGCACACTCAGCCACAATGTAAGCAGATGCAACCTAGATGAAACCCCTCACAGGCCCTGCTTTGAGTCTGAGTAGAGCTTCTGAAAGAGTGAAGTTCTTTTGTCTGTATTACAATGAATTCACAATAATTCAGATTATTAGCATAGCTACCAATTAGACCAAATCTATTTATGATATTAAATGTCTCAGACTCTACTAATCTAATCTATTGATAAGATCCTACTCTACAGAAACCATCAAGAGCAATGGCAACACAACGAAACATCTCTCATCTCTGCTCTTAATAGGACCACGTTTTTTAAGGATATAAAAGGGAAGAAGCACAATTTACTCATTTTAATCTGAGGTATTTATCTAAATTAAGTTGCTCTATCAAACCCTACACAGTCCAGTTCAGATCTGAGTTATCTACATATACGAAGACGTCTACAAACAGAGACAAGAGCTAATCATGTTGAAGGTAAACCAGTTCAAATTTATGTAAGAATACCAGTGTTGGTGAAACTTTAGGAGGGAGCTCCCCTGGATTAAGGAACCAAAGGCTATGTTAATTCCAAGCAGCTTCCCCATCACAATACAAGATAAATCACTCCTTTTCCTACAGTAATGTTTACCAACATTAAGGTAATACAAGGACTTAATAATTAGTTATGACTTCAGAAATGCAGAGAGTTGATCCTGTCTAACCCATATATTCAGACCAGTGCCAGCTGAACTCCAGCAATGAGAAGTGCTGCACACTATTCCTCCAACTTGCTCTTACTCCTGCTTGTATGACTGCTTATTTGTCTCAATGAGTCTGCTCTTGCCTTCAAGTTATCTCCAGAAAGATAGAAGACACCTACCACATGCCCTACCCACTGCTATTCTCTCACCCCCGCCTACCCCATACCAATTCTTGTCCTTATCTTTAAACGCAGCTTTCTTGAATCTTCCTGCCAATTTAATGAGCCAACACTTGGCTTAGTTACCCTCAAGCCTTGCTCTGCTCTAATAAACACCAGCATTTAGGCTACCACTGTCTGCCAGTTTGGATCTGCAGGAACATTGCAGTTGCTTGAAGCTGAAAGACCGAAACTTTAATGCCCACAGGGTATCAGCATCAAATACAAAAATAGGTGCTCCAAGAAAGCTGTAATTTCCCTGCCAGGCAAATTCAAATCCAACCACAGAAGCTGTGGATAAACTCCTTGCCCAACAGAACAGAGGAAACCAGGGGACACCCATTCTGTGCAAAGCTACAAGACAACTGAGAGAACACAAGCGAGTAAATTAGAGCAATTCAGCCTTAACAAACACAAAAGCTGAAACAAACTTTGTATTTGAAATATGAAACATTTAGTTGCTAATGGAACCGGTAATTTACCTAGCTTATGCAGAGCACTGATTAAATAATTAATCATACACAGAAACAATACAATCTCTGTAATGGAGTAAAAAGTGCCTGGTAAACAGAACAGTTGTATACGGAAGAGTTGTCAGAGGTGTGAGCAGTTTCATCTCAAAAATTACGTTTTACGCTCATTTTCCAGGGTCTGTTTCTGACTCTGTGCTCTCTAACTTCACTGGAAAAGCACAACACATTGCTGGTCGAACCCCCTAGGATGGCAATGCACAACCTCAATCCCTTGGGAAGACAAGCTCATTTAGTATTTCAATATAGTTGAATGCAGCTTTGCCCATTCAGAAACAAAGGGCATAATTTGCACTGAGTATGGGCAGACTTGTGTCCTGGAAAACACCAAACCTCAGAAATTCTTCAGGATTATGGTATATAACAAAGAGTACACGCTCTGGCCACAGTGCTGCAGCCAAGAGGCTTGGTATGAAACACAAAAGCATTCCAGAGCAATCAAGAAGTAACACTACCCGGCCTAGCATAGTGGTAAAACGACTACCACACTGGGTGCTCACACTTCTTGAAAAAAGTTACAGGGAAAATAAATTCAGAAGCCTGAGAAACCTGCTTTCTAGGACCAGACTCCTTTGGACTAGGTACATGAAGTTAAGCACAGCTACACCTGTAAAACTATTCAGAAGTCTCTAAAAGGCAGTACTTAAAATTTCATATAAATTCATAGAGGCTGTTAAGTCACCAGCCACAATAACAATTAGTATCCTCAGTAAAGGTTTACTAGAAAAGCCAAAACAGAACTATCACTAGAAGTATTCAAGCTAGAAATGAACAGTATTTTCTCGCAAAGTTTGTAGGTGATTGGAAAATTACTGGGATAAGAACCTTCAGTTCTACCTAAAAATATCAAAAAGAAATGAAACAGCCCCTTTAAACTCAAAGGAACCTTTCAAAGGATTTAAGATGCTTTTTCTAAGCAAGTACCACCCCTTGCTAAGTGAAAGCCATAAGGTTCTTGATGAGAACATACAGAAATAAAACACTGGGCCTATTTCATTAAAGCAAATGGTTTCTCTCTTCCTATTCTTGTCTACTTCACTACATAACCAACCATCTGGTTGGACCAGATGATCTTTCAAGGTCCCTTCCAACCTGGGCTCTTCCATGATTCTATAGCTCGAAAAGCCCATGTTTCATATTGGATCACATGTTGTTGCCTGAGATGCAATCTGCTCACATAGTTAGTTTTCTTCCTTGCTAAAGGGTTGTAATCATTGATATTTGATAGTATCACAGTGTTCTATTATCATGTAAGGGGGAAGAAAAAGCCAAAAGCCACTGGCTTATTTTGATTTTAAGCAGAGGTTATTCAAGGACATACTAAACTAGTTGTGGAACCAGATTCCTAAATCTACAGAAGTTTTGCAGGTAACTGAGCAAAAGCTGTTTAAAAAGCAGCTGCTTTGCCTACTGAAAAATAAGCTTGGACAGACTGCAGCTTTAAAGAGCTCAGATATTTGCTGCCAGGAGAGCATAAAGGAAGGAAAGGTTTAACTGACAGCGAGCTCTGCCACAG